TAAGGGCAGCTGCAGTGGCTAAAAATGCCCTTCCAAGAATGATAGGGATCTCCATTTCCTCCATCTCCAAAATAAGAAAATCCACAGGAAAGTAGAATTTTCCAACTTTAACAAGCACATCCTCCATAACTCCAATAGGGTAGCGAATTGACCTATCCGCAAGTTGTAAGGCTATGGTGGTTGATTGAAGTCCCCCCACACCAAGCTTTTTAAATAAAGAATGGGGCATGAGATTGATACTAGCACCAAGATCACAAAGGGATCTTACCTCTCCAATCTTGCCAATAGAACATGGCACCGTGAAGCTTCCGGGGTCCTTCAATTTAGGAGGGAGTTTGTTTTGTAGGATGGCACTACACTCCTCCGTAAGGGAAATGGTAGCAAATTCTGCTAATTTCTTTTTATTTGAGAGTATGCCCTTCAAGAATTTGGCATAAGATGGAATCTCCGCTATTGCTTCGGCAAATGGAATGTTGATGCTCAATTTAGTAAAAATATCAAGGAATTTTCTATATTGAGCACCATCATTCTTTTTCTTCAATCTTTGAGGATATGGAATGGGAGGAACATAGTTAGCCATATTGGACGGTGGCATCATATGTTCCTCATCTCCATCTTCGTTTTGCTTTTTCGGGGTCTCCTCCTCTTCCGGCATCTTCGGGTCCTCCGTCGTCTTACCACTCCTTGTGGTAATGGCCATCACGTTCTCCCTTGGGTTCATCTCCGTGGTTGTAGGAAATTTGCCTTGCTCCCTAGAACTTACTTTTTGAGCAAGTTGTCCCATTTGTACTTCAAGATTCCGAATGGATGCCTTGTTGTATTGCTCAATGGTGTCGATGCGTTGGTTAAGCTTCATATTTTGATCTTCAAATCGAAGATCCAACTTGGTGAATTGAGAGTGGAGATTCCCAATGGATGCCTCCACTCTATGATGATTTTCCTCATTTTGGGCCTTCATACTTGCCATGCTTTTGGACATGAATTGCATCATATCCTCCATGGTAGTCTCCTTGGGTTGCCCAAAATTAGGTGCTCCGGATTGGGGTTGTGAGGAACTAGTTTGTGGCTTCCACCTTTGTTGATTTGAATAGTTATTGTTCCCCCGATTCCCATAGGAGTTCATATAATTTACCTCTTCAAGTTGTTGAGATAAATCACCTTCCGGGTTCGGTATGCTCTCCACGTTGGCTATTTGTTTGACTCCTCCCAATACGGCTTGTAGAGCCGTTTGGAACTTTTGCTCAATCTTTGATTCCATTTCTTCAAGCCTTTTGTTTATCTCCGTCGTGATAGAGATTTCATTAATCCCTACCACTTTGTAATCACCTCCTTGGAGTTGAGGATTCGAAGCAATGGATTCAATGATTCGGAGTGCTTCGGTTTCATTCTTGTTCCCAATATAGCCCTCGGCTCGGTTGTCCACAATGGCTTGACAAGATGCGTTCAAGCCATTGTAGAATGTGTCAATTTGAAGGTCTAGGGGAATGCGGTGATGTGGGCATTCCCTTAGCAATGATTTGAAACGCCGCCATGCGTCTTGAAAGAGCTCACCATTTTGTTGTTTGAAATTGAAAATGCGTTGTCTAAGCTCTTGAGTCATGGTGGGCGTGTAGTACTTGGACATGAAGGCATTGTATATACCTTCCCATGTTGTGTAGCTTGCCGGAGCTTGCTCTAGGAACCATCCTCTTGCCGCCCCTTTGAGAGTATAGGGGAAGCATTTGAGCTTGAGTTGATCCTCCGCCAAGCCATTTCTAGGGATTCCTTGAATGAATCCGTAGAACTCCGTGATGAAGTTGAGTGGATTTTCCCCAAGCAAACCATGAAACTGAGGCATAGCGTTGAAGTAGCTTTGCCTTAGCTCATAGTCTCTTGCTTCCTCGCTCAAGGTGATGCAAGATGGCGTAGCGGCCACCACGGGTCTCTTCCTCTCATTCAAAGTTGGCAACATCTTTGTAGCTTTTTGCTCCCTTCGAATGTGTTTGCAAGTTTTTTCTATTTCAAGATCAAGTGGTTCAAAAATTTTAGAACCTTGACCTCTCAATTGCATGCAAACACAAGGGAATATCTACACAAGAAAAAACAAAAATCCTTCCAAGATCAAGTGAAGTTGTGAAAAATAAATTCAGGATTTTTGATTGGTTGATTCTTTGGACTTTATTAAACAAGACCGTTTCCCCGGCAACGGCGCCAAAAACTTGACCGGGCTGAACTTGCAAGTGTACAAGTGCCGATATAGTAATAAATTCCGGCAAAATACCGGGTCGAATCCACAGGGAAACGTTGTTTAATTTAGTCCGCGAGTAGATGACTTTGAATAAGTAAATGAGTAAAGTGCAGGGATTTTGAGTTGTGTGTTGTTGTGAAAACAACAACTTGGTTCTTCTTTTTAATTTTCAGAGATATAACTTGAATTAATTTGATTAAAGTGATTGATAACAACAACTAAGGCTTCGGGAATCACTTAAATGCTTTAATAGGGTTGAATATTAGTTCTTTACCAATAATTATGAATACGATGTCGCTAATATATTCTCAACTCCGGTTAAGGCAGCGAGAGCGTGGTTTTCGTTACGTGTAAGTCCCGTTACGGCTTACATTCATCTACCGAAAACCCCGTTGAATATCAAGACATCACACCCGTATCATATAATACCGGATATATTTCTATTCTCGGTAATATATATGTTTATCCTTTAATGTTCATAGTTTAGACCTCAACGTTAATTGCAAGCATAAACTAAGTTTAACATACTTCTATGTTGTACACCAAAGTCATAAACAATCAAAATGTAAAGGATAAATCACAATTTATTGGTTTAGAACTTTTATCAAACACCTAGTGGGCATAGAAGTTCATCCCTAGCCTTAGCTAAGAACTTAGCCTCTAATGCTCATATTAATTACAAAAGTGTAACTAAGATAAAGGAAATGCAATAACATACAAGAAATAATACCTAGAACCAATTGTAGAGGAGAGAAATGGCTTCTTCTCCAACACTTCAAGAGAATGCAAAAATAAAATATAAAAACTGAAATTTAAGCTCCAAGGATGGATTGATGATGAGGTTTGATGAATTGGGGGCTTTATATAGGCTAAAGATTGACATCTTTTAGTCTATTCGAGCCCAACAATCAAGCATGGAAGATATATTTGATTAGCTCATGAGGAAGGTGAGTTTTTTCCATCAATATATCTCAGCACGATCTTTTGTATTTGCAGGATCAGGCCTACCCGGCGCCGGCCTTCAGGCCTACCCGGCGCCGGGTAAGCTACTGGATTGGTTGGTGCGAAAATCCGACGGGCCGGCGCCGGGTATAGGGTGGGCCGGCGCCGGGTATCTCCTCTTTTTGTATTTTCTCCACTTTTCGCTCCATTTGACGCCCGTTGTTGACCCCGATGTGCCGGTTCTTGGTCCCTTTTTCCCCATTGACTCTCGTTTCTTCATTTTTGACGTCCAAGTGCGATTTCGCTCAAATTGGGATTTTTATCTGTTTTATCTTTGAAAATTTGTACAGATAATCATAATTACCTATATAAAATATAGATAATTGTTGTGCTTATCAAAGTGAAAAGACAGATCAAATCTCACCCTCCTGAATTGCCGCCCTGGAGCACTCGAGGTGCTAGGATTCAGAACATGGTACTTCGTGTTATGTGCAAGTGAAAAGACAGATCAAATCCTACCCTCCTGAATTGCCTCCCTGGAGCACTCGAGGTGCTAGGATTCAGAACATGGTACTTCGTGTTATGTTTTACGTTGCTATGTTTTTGTTGTTGATGTCTTTAGTTTTAGGTCTACAATAATGTTTGACAATTTTGCTAGATTTTATGTCGTTAGAAAGAAAGATCTATATGGCCGGCGATTGTCATGTCACACCCATTTGGTGGTTAGCGATTCATATTGCTCTTCCAGGGGGTGATTGGGAGGAGGATGAGGAGGATGAGGAGGATGAGGAGAAGGAAAGGGAGAATGAGAAGGAGAAGAAGAAATATAATGAATTTATTGGTGTTGATAGTGCTAGTATGTTATAGATAGTTTTTATCGGTGTTGGTCTCTTTGAATTGGTTGTAACGATTCAAATTTTAATGATATTAATATAAGCATTTTTTCCTTTCATAAAAAGACATAGGTTGTCCAAACACCTCAAAATACTCCAATTTGAATGTTAAAAATAATAAATTTAAGTGTTGAGACATTTTTAGTGGAACTTATTATTTAAACCACACGTGAAACTAGATTAAAAATGTTTTTATTTAGACTGATATTTGTTGGTCTGATCTGGTTTGTGATTGAAAATAATCCAATTAAAAACATCGTGGATCAAAACAGAACAAATCACACCGGTCTAGACATCTCAAATTTAAACAAGATCAAATTTAAACAAACCATACTAGAACAAATATGGGGAAAAATAAATAATATACTCCGAACTTTGCCTTTGTGTGAGCTTCCCACCATGAACTTGTACTAGTTTAAAAAATACCCCAACTTTATTTTTTTTGTACCATATTTTAATTAACAAATAGTATTTCTCAAGTTGGAATATGCTAATTAGATTTAGTTGGCAAAAAAAGATGCATGATTTCCAAAAATAAAATGTGTGCTTTCTCAGATGGTTTGGTAGGATATGGGGCATAAACATCTCAATTTTACAAAGTAGGAGATATTTATACAATGTTGACAAGTTGAGGATAGAGGTATCACACCTATGCAAAGTTTGAGGTATTTTATTTATTTTACCCACATATACGTTAGATCGATGAGAGTATTAGGAAACATCATTCACACTTCCGTTACAAGGAAAATGCTTAGTGTACATGAGTTGTACACAAGTTGTACACAAAATCTTCTAGTTGCTTGTGCACACAGACAATTCATTTAAAAATGAGCCGTACTTGATGTCACATAGACAATATACACATTTTGTGTATAAAACAAGAATGATCCCCGATACAATTCCGTTACTAACCCTTCCATGATCCCCGTTACAATTCCGTTACTAACCCTTCCATATATACATTTTTTTTTTCAGCAAATAAAAGTAGAATAATCGATCCATATGTTTCCCTGACCGAGGACCATTCATCGGTTCATCCAGTGTTTCCCCCTTTCTCAAGCAGCAGAGACGCGCCCAGAGATGGGAAGCTCGAGCACTATCATCCCCAATTTCAATCTCAACGCTTCCCGCCGCTTGAAATGCCTGAATTCTAGATTCCTAATTCAAAGAATTCTTTTACAACCGCCCCAAACAAAACCCATGCTTGCCTTCTCGAGTACAAACAGATTCGGCAGAACAGTTTGCTCCGCTGTTGAAGACGCTACGAAGAAACGACAAGGCGCCGGTGTAAGCACCAATGGATTCGGCTCAGACAGTGAAGACAAGCTCTGTAAGTGATTAAGTAAATATAGTACGTGGTATTGGGGAAATGAGTGATGTGGATTGTGAAATATTATTTTCCTTGAAAACGTTTAGTTATGTGGTGTTCTTGTTTTTGTTTTTACCTTGATAAACAGAACTAATGACATATATAAGACTAAAATAAAGGTAGTTGATGATGCAAAAATAAAATAAAATAAAGGTAGTTGATAAAAATGTGTTTTTTACCCTTTAATGACTTTAATAACTTCAAGCACTTTTTTGTGTATCAGTTCTGTTTTAGTAAATATATTGTATTGGCTACTATCCCAGCATATGGTTGATCGATATTAAGGATTAAAGAGTACTATATCTGTTGACTCTATGGGGGGCTACTATTACATTACCTTGGCATTTAATTTGGGAAGAGGGTAACATCAGATTAGTTTTATCCTTAAGACTATCTCCATGTAGGGAAAGGCTGTAATGTTGGGGTAATCATATTAGTTTGTGATGGAAATTTTACATTTGTAATGTTTTAAGTAATCAGAGGTCCCAATCTATTTAATGACACACTTTTTTTTGTGGAACTAAAAAGTCAAGGTTATATTACTTTTTTAACAGAAAAGAAGTTTTATTTTTCTTCCAGACCGGATGATTTATAAGACTATAGGGCCTGCACACCCGGCTGAAATGCTCATGGTTCAGAAGTGATAAAAATCCAAAATAAAATGGTATGAACTGTTTGAAAGCACCAATGTAGGCCTTTACATAGTTAACTTTTCCAAATCTTCAATTCTTAAAGAAGCTAAAAAGAGACTTAGCGACTTTTCCTTGGAAGTTAATTTTTTTAAATATTTTGGATCTGATTGAAGTCTCAATGTTTATTTGGAGAACTGATGCAAGTGAGACCTTGAATCATAGACCTAAGTCCCTATATGAGAAGCTTATACTACCTTTATTTAAAAAAGTAGTCATGGTTTATCAATGTCATTTTTGTTTTAAGTGTGGTAAGGTTACAACTCTGAAAAATGATCAGTCCTGCTATTTTAGATTTTCTTTTGTTTGTTCAACTAAATCTGACATACTTAACTTATCAAGAACACTTTTGTTGTTTTAAGTATGTTTGGAAAACAACACAGATTTACAAAAACTGCACTTTATATATACATAAATAATGCAGTTTTGGTAGAGAATTTATTTAGCTACCTTCCCGATTGATTTTTTAGGTGAAATTTGGTATGAACAAACTAGATTTAATGAGTAACATTCTCAAAAAAGTTCATCAAAAAATGCCACTGGGAAGGGCCCCTGATGCCCTTGGCCGGATTGCGACTCTCTATATATTTATATATAATATTCTAAACAAAATTTCCATAAAACACTCAAGACTTATCCTCAAGCTACTATTAGGATTGAGTTTTTTCCACTTTCGGTTCCTCGACTATTCTGTAAGTGACACTTTTGGTACTCGACTTTTATTTTTTCCAATTTTAGTCCTCGACTATTGTGCTCAAGACACTTTTAGTCCTCAACTTCAATTTTTCCTACATGTAGTACCTGAGTATTATCAAATTGACATTTTTATTCCTTCCACTACGATTTTGACACACTAAGTGGAGGACAAAAATGTCATTATTATAATAGTTGAAGGACCAAAAGTGTCGCATTTATGAAAGTCGAAGGACTAAGTATGGAAATTTTCAAAGACGGGTACTAAAAGTGTCTCTAGCAAAATAGTCAAGGACTACAAATGGAAAAAATTAAAGTCGAGCACCAAAATTGTCAGTGACATAATAGTCGAAGGACTAAAAGTGGGAAAAACTCTATTAAAATTGTTGTTGATTCATGCCAGGTGGGTTAGGTTTCATCCTCAATAATAATAGTTGATAGTGGTTTGGTTCTACTGTTACTTTTTCATAAATATATTCAGATCAAACATAATATGTTTTGTACTTGATCAGTTCATCGGTATTATTTTGCAGATACCTCAAAAGAAAATAAACTGACCAATAAAGAATCAGATGACAGGGAAGGAAACACTCTCTATGATTTTCTTTATCCCAGTAAAGAACTTCTGCCAGATGATAAAGAAATGAGTATCTTTGATCATTTAGAGGAGTTGCGTCAAAGAATATTTGTGTCTGTTTTGGCTGTTGGGGCCGCTATGGTTGGATGTTTTGCCATCTCTAAAGAACTCATATTGTTTCTTGAAGCCCCTGTTAGTGAACAAGGTGTTCGATTTTTACAACTTGGCCCTGGCGAGTTTTTCTTCACAACTCTAAAGGTTAGTCTGGCTTTGGTTCATTTATTTTATGCTTACTTATCATGTCCCTAATTTACTACGGAGTATTAATATACTTTTTCTGCTTCGTTTCTTCTCCCGACACATTATGCTATGTTTAAAACTCAGAACTGGTACTGAAAGAGAAAAAAACGTGGAGGAAGACAGCTATTTTTAATGTTTAGATTAATTTTAGAAAATACAAAAAGGAAAATTAAATTGTTTTTCTTTTCATTTTATTTTCACATACATTTATATAAATATGGATGGTTCATATTGAAGCCCATCTTATCATAGGAACTTGCTTGTGGTGCAAAGTTGCAAACTATCACTTCTAGTCGTTAGGTTTGATGATTTTAAAATCAATCAATCACTTCTAGTCTGTGTTGCTTGGGTTACGTGTTATATATTCTCGATCTGTTTGGTTTACACTGCCATGGTAAACACTCTTCAGTACTTATTGCCTCCAAATACCCACACTAAATGCAGGTTTCAGGATATTGTGGTCTCCTCTTAGGGAGCCCTGTGCTTCTCTATGAGATCATAGCCTTTGTGCTTCCAGGTTTAACAAAAGCAGAGAGAGGATTCCTCGGACCCATTGTGCTTGGATCATCTGTTCTTTTCTATGCCGGAATTGTCTTTTCATATTATGTCCTCACTCCCGCAGCCTTAAATTTCTTTGTTAATTATGCTGAAGGGGTCGTGGAATCGATATGGTCCATCGATCAATACTTTGAGTTTGTGCTTGTTCTCATGTTCAGCACTGGGTTATCTTTCCAGGTAGATCTTTGCCTGACTTTGTTCTTATTACCACTCTTTTGTAGTACTGACCCAAAAAAGATTCACTACTTTCCCATTTTATTGTCGTACGTTTCCCTATTCACCCATACCACCTTTTAGCTTTCTAAAGTGATTTGAATGTGACCCCTATTATTCTATTAGAGGATAACTTAACAAAATAAGTTACCTTTATCTGTTTTCATTAAATGAAAACTGCACTAAAAGTTAAAGTCTATTATAGTTTGAATATAATGTCACCATATTGCTTTTGCATGAATTTATTGCTTTAATAAATTTTTGACCTTTAATTTATATGGGTCCATAAACCACCCTCCCAATTTTATCTGGCATTATTATTATTATTATTATTATTATTATTATTATTATTATTAGTATTATTATTATTATTATTATTATTAGTAGTAGTAGTGGTGGTGGCGGCGGCGGCGGTATATTAAATGGTGTAGGTGTGAATATATTAAATGACGGTAGTGAATCTATTTTTATCAAATAAGGAAAAAGACTTTGTCTACGGAGAGACTGAACAGGAAAATGGGACTGTTATTTAGGAACGTAGACAGTAATGTCACTTTCATATCACTCATCCCATCATAGTTGAGATTAAAGTGGTGCTCTCATGATGATGCAAAAACTGTGTGATGTCTGTTTCTTACTTTCTTTTGAATCGACCAACCCAAAATCAGGTTCCAGTTGTACAGCTTCTTCTGGGGCAAACCGGTCTAGTTTCTGGAGATCAAATGTTGTCTGTTTGGCGGTACGTCATTGTGGGGGCCGTGGTTGCAGCTGCAGTGCTCACTCCGTCTACGGACCCACTCACCCAAGTTTTGTTAGCGGGCCCCCTGTTGGGGCTCTACTTGGGTGGAGCATGGGCGGTAAAGCTTTCTGGGAAATAGATGGACTTAAGGAGCAGAAGAAAACATGTTCCTAATGGCCGAAAGATTCTCAGGCTCAGATGTGTGATGCATAGGGAAGTTGGGATTGATGATCCATAGAAAGTATATTGAAACATATATAGGTAGCTTTTCATTTACTCAATTATTATCATTATATTATTTTCATGATCTTTTTCTTTCATTTTTAAAAATGCTGTACCTCAAACCATGGGGCTTTATCTGCCTCGAGGTGGTTTAGTAGCATGTAAATTGTAAGATAATGTGGCTTAGGAAGGGCGTCTCTACACTTTTTGCAACAAAGGGGTCTTCTACTTGCCCTTAGTAGGGTTTGAACCTCCATGATGACCTCTTTATTATGAGGAGAGTGTGTGGACTGGAGTTGTAGTTAAAATGTGATGTGGCATGTCTCCCGCTTAATAACATTATACACTATACATATGTATTATGTATATGCTCTTAGTGATTCATTTACTGGTCATTTTCCATGGAAAGGTTAATGCAAAATGCATAGAATGATGATGAAAGGGGTAAAATGTTCCGATTTTATGGTATTATCAAAACTTGTACGTAGACTCGACCTCACTAGGGAAAATGTCAATTGTAAACGATGAAGATGATGCATCTGTGTACCAAACTATTAAACACATTTGCTTTTATACTGCGGTCTAATATACTTCATCTATCCTTGAAAAAAACTACTTTAGTCTCCACATGCATATTAAGAATGACGAACTTTTTTTTTTTTTTTTTTTTATCGTAACGAGGAACTTGTTTAATTAAAATTAATGCATTGAAGTAAAAAAATGAACCACACAACTCCTTATAAAACCTTACTTATCTGTGATGGCCGAAAGAGGCAAGGAAAACCTTTTCGAGAGACTGATGGAATGATTTACTTTCCAATATTGTCTTTGAAACAAGTCCAACACAATTAGATAGACAAAAATGATAGTAGATCGTATCTAGAGGTATGGTCTGTGGATATTGATGAAATTTGTGGCATCATAACTGATGCCAAAAAATATTTATAATCATATAATGTATTTTTTCAATTTGGGAAAAGGAAAATAAACGCTATTTAATTTGCCTTCATTTTATTAACTTCAGCATAAAAACCAAGCACCTTTTGAACTTGTTGTTCATTATCATGCCATAGAGCCCACGTAGTCAACGAAATTGATGTTTATCTAAAAATTATAACTGATATAGCTAGGCAAAATTATAAGGGCGCTTAAAATATGACATCATTTTGTGGTAGACTAAAAATCTAAATACTGCAAACAAAACGAGGCAGAGACTTCAATTCAAGATATTCAACTATGATCATTACAAAGCCAGTAACACTGACTGCAAAATAGCACATTATCAAAGTCAAGATGCTCCAGATATTTTTCTAAGTCCTCAATGCTATAAAAGGGAACCAAAACTCTTTAATTTATAGCATTATAAACCTCATTTGTGCATTTCTCCTATATTAGTCATCACTCACGGCAAGACTTTCCATTTTTTGCATGACTACGTCTGCAGTACCTAATACAGATTCCAACTGTGTCGATGCAATTCGCAAACCATTGCATGCCTTAACATAATCTTCAGTTAATCCCTTGAGATTTTCCAACTCCATTGTCATTTCATTTATGTTGCTTGAAATAACCTCCACTGAAGCCCTGATCAAAGAAATTTCTTGGGGAGGGTAAAGGGAAGCCCCGAGTTCATCAATTTGAAGACCGATCCCTTGACATAACTTCAACAATCTCTCTAAAGAACCTATGAAGGCATCCGATGAGTTTCCGGAAGCTTCCAGCTTAACTAATCCCGTGATGGAACGAATAAGTTCCTTAACCACCACTAGTGTTTCAGACACTAAATTGGTAGTTAATTGAGCAACTTTCATTTCTTCGGGTGACAGGTCATTCCCTAGATCTTCCATAAACGGATCATCATTATCATCATGATTGGTTTCTGATTCTCCTGGAACTTCTTCATCCCCTAAATCGGGAGATGAGGGTTTGAGTTCTTTCATTTCACGAAGGACATCCTTCATTGAAACAGCAGTCTGTGTTAGTGCCCGGCCTATTGCAGTGATGTTTGTGGATGGTGTTTTCTTAAGAGCAGAACAAGCTTCCCAAACTGTGCCAACCAACTGCGGAATAGTATTTTTTCGAGATTTATTGTGAGAGCCTGTACAATGTTCAGATGAAAGAGTTATGCTCATTAGACAGAAGAACAAGAGACGAACTTCTATTGTTACAAAGTCATAGAAAGTAGATTCTCAGAGTAAAAAAACACAAGATGGCGGGCAAAGAAAACTGCATGTAACCTGATTGATAGGTCCTGAGAGTTTGAGTTTTACGCCATTGACTCAATATATTGTCATATTGGAATACAGTTAATTCAACAACAATAACAACATCCAAGCCTTAGTCCCAAAAGAGTTTGGGGTCAGCTAGCATGAATCGACACATGAAATCGGAGCTAAAAAGATAAGAAAGGTAAAAAGGTAACCTAAGATAAAAAAAAGATAAGATAACGATAAATATAAGATAAAGATTAAAATTATAAGATAAAAGGAGTAAGATAAAAGGATAAAAATATATGGAGTAAGATAAAAAGATAAAAGGATAAAGAACATAAGAAAGATAAAGAAGATAAAAGGATAAATAAGATGAAAAGATATCAATCCTCCACATGAATGTAAAAAAAGATCCTCTATATACAATCTGTATATAGCTAACTTCTCTTCTATCTACGGGATCCAACCAAAGATAGCTCACTTTTCACCTTTTCCCCCCTCTTCCTGGTAAGTGATAAGTAATCCACTTTAACCTATGATGTATGGAAACATGGAAATTATGAGGAAATATGAAAAGGGAAACACCATCTAATAATTGAAAAACAACTTCTAGACTTTTAGAGTTTTTCCAAAGAATTTCCAAAACGGATACATACTATTTCCCTAAATTTTTACTTACTCTTTCCCTGGATGTTTCCGTGCTTCATAGGGAGTCACCATTGGCGTATGTGTCATAGAACTAAGCTCACTAATCCCTCCGTCTTGTATCACGTATTTCACAAAAAATTGTTGCACTTTCCCATCTTAGCAAATAAAATCTTTGCAAATGACACAAGTGTCCTTGATTTTTCCTGTCCTTTCTCCTACTTTCTCAATTTTACACACTATAAAGTACCCCCATCAATATACTCTTAGAACCGTAAAACCCCCTTAAAGGAACAATTGAAAACAAAGACGGAGGGAGTATAACCCATGATTATAATGCAGAAGTTGATATCTTAGTGATATAGAGGGAGTAATTTAAGGGCTGTGAGAAGATTGTGTTATATGTGTACCATAAGTGGCAATTGTATCCTTCATCAAAACAAAACTGCTATCAACCACTTGCTTTATAGATGCATGAATGCAAGCAGAAAGAGTGGGTCCCGCCCCAACTATACTTCCATGTGCGAGCAAAAGGAATCCCTGCAATGCGTTGAAAAATGCAGACATGTTCTCCTCAAGTACTTCAACTTCCGTGGTTTCTCCACTCCAAAGCATTCCAACTGGATGAATAAATATAAATAAATATAAAAAATTAAAGATTGCCATTTCAGCCTCAACACAAAAATGAAAACCCAGGACAAAAAAAAGTATAAGCTTGCTTAAATCTGTGACTATTCCACAACTAGACGCCATGATGCCTGTTAAAAGTCCCACAAATAAAATATTTGAGAGATGCATATGAGTTTATTACGGAGTAATTTATAAGGTTTTGTGCTGCTGTGTTACTTCAATCTGAAGGAATAAAAAACAACTTAAGCGGCCTAGAAAGAGTCAATGGAAATTTTGATTAAATTCAATTTTTTATTGTTTCAGACATGCACATCATGATCAGCATGAGTGACCCCAATATAATAATGAACTCTATCTTTCCCATTTCCTTTGTATGGCCTATTATCCAACAGGGCATTTACTTTAAAACAATTGCAAGTTCCCATGAATCATGTAATCTTCCAGAACCAACAATTCCAAGAACAATATGAATATCAGTACATAGTAAAACATGAAATGAGGCCTAAATTTATGTTCATAACCAAATAAAAAGAAACTAAAGTGAGGAACTTGCATATGCACATTCAGAGAAAAGCATGAGAGTTAAAATTAGCATGGCATGAATAGCAGAATAGGGCGTACCGTTGGTGGCTTGCTTGGAAATTTGCTCACCCACTTGAATGACATCTTTCCAGTTCGTTCTTTTCAGAGAAGGAGCTGGGGATTGATCCAATACCTGCAACACAACCATAGTACACAGATTTTCCCCACTCGGGCAAAACATAAAACAGGAAGAAGAAACAGAAAATTCGAAGAGATGGATTATGAACCTGAAGAGTTTCGTGGATGGTATTGAGATGCTCAATCAACTCTCTGTTCAATCGCTCTCTCTCAACTTTCCCCATCTCTGGCTTGTGAACTATGAAGAGTTGCAGAGGAGCAAAGCTGTATCTGGTTATTCAATGAGTTTATTCATCAAATAAGATGAGAAACGACAGCGTTTCTTATAGTTTAGGGCAGACAAGGCCGTACTAATTAACAATCACACTTCAAATTAATTGCCCGTTCGGAGTATTCAGCTTCGTGCGGGAAAAATACTGAAATTTCGGTATACCGGACTTACCATGTCGAAAAATACTGAATTTACCGAAGTGTTTGGTATACCAACTTTTTTGGTACGGTATCATACTGTACCGAATTACTTCGGTATGGTATCGGTATGTACTTTGGAAATAAACGGTATACCGTTATACCGTCATACCGTAATTCCAAGTCAATAATTTCTTTAAAATTATAAAAATAACTAGAAACACAACATTAATTCAAGGATAATGACTTTATATCCATGTTTCTTGAATTATTTATATTTTTTGTTGGAGATCAATGTTATTTCAAATATATTTATGTTGTTTAAATTATTATTTTAGCAGAATGTGTTGTTATCTTCATATATCATGTGTTGAAGTATCTGTACATATTTATAATATTTTTTTTGTTCAAAGTTGAATAGAACACAAATAGGTTATCATTGGTATTTTATAATTAATTTCATTAATAATTTTAGTATATCACTATTAACACTGATTTTCTATATTTCATTTGATATATAATAATTTGATACCGTAGCTTACCATACCGAAATTTTGATATACCGAAACAAGGTATACCGAAATTTAGGTATGGTAACGGTATGTATTTTTGCATTCCGAAAGTTTACGGTATGGTAAAGATATGGGATAAAATCTTCGGTATACCGTACCGAACCACCCCTATTCCGCTTATTTGCTTGTACTTATTGATATTAGGGAAAACTGTCAAATAAGTCCATCTACTTTTACTAATAAGTCAATTGAGTCCACATACTTTCCGATCCGTCAATTAAGTCCACAAAGTGTGAAAAATTAAACAAATTGTCCATTTGGCCGGTAATCGGCCGGTTTTCCGGTCAGATCGTTCAGCTAGCTTTTTTTTATTGTTTTCCAATTTTTTATATTTTCTTTTCCTTTTTCTTTCTATTTTTCATCTCTTTTACTCTTTCTTATTTCTTACTTCTCCACTCCTAATTACCCAGTCTTTCTCCGCTTCCATTCCGATCCCTGCTTTCTTGTTTCCGGCCACCCGCAGTCCGTTTCTACATCTCCCCATTTCTGCCGCCCCACCTCCGAACCACCACGACCTCCGCCACCCCGTCCTCCATAGCCGACATTGAAGCGACCTCCAACCGCCCTGACCTCCGTAAACGCCGCACCCGACAACCACCTCCGCCGCACCGCGGCTTCCACCTTCATCTCCGCCACTGGAGTGACCTGCAACCTCCCCGACCCCCATGGCCACCACCTCCGCAACCTCTCCTCCTCCGCCGGTCCGCCCCTACGGCCCTACCTCCGTAGTCCGTAGCTTCCCCCTCCGCCACTCCTACCTCCATAGCCGCCACCGCCCCGGTCTTCATAGACTGGTGGATCCGCCTAGGGGAGAAGATTGAATGGCTAAGGTAAGCCAAGCTCCTGGTCTGGTGACGGCTAGAGTTGGACTAGGCGCATGAACCCAGAAAAGAAAAATGAATTAAAAGAAAAATTATAGGTAGAAAATAAGGAGTAATACAAATAGGTGACAACTCCGGTACCTTTCTGAAAACAGGGGGATCGTACCAAGCATTCATTTGATTGGACCACACCACTTTATAAATTTTAATTTAGATTTAAATAATTCAACTGCTACATTTTCATTGGTCCATGTTCACAATGTATGGTACCTTATGGGTACCATAGAAACTACCATAAAAATAAGAGCCAGCTGGTCAATTTAACCGGAAAACCCAGTGATTACCGGTCAAATGGACGATTTGGTTAATTTTTGACACTTCATGGATTTAATTGACTCATTTTAAAGTATGTGGACTCAATTGATTTTTTGATAAAAATAGATGAACTTATTTGACGGTTTCCCTTGATATTATCCAAATAAAGTAGACAATTAGTTATGTACCCCAAATACTCCCTCCGTAATTTTAAAATCTTCTCATTTCAAAAGTAGGTAGATTAAGAATAGTGAAAGATGATAAGAATTATTGAGGGTATGATGAGAAATTGGGGAATAATGTGGTGGAATGTAGGATAAATCCAAAAAAGTAGTTGTAATAGTGTATTATTTTAAGAATTATTGAGGGTATGATGGGAAGATTTAGAAATGAGAAGATTTTTTTGTTACGGACGAAAAAGGAAAGTAGGAAAATTTTTAAGTTACGGAGGGAGTATATGGAAAAATCTACCGTGCATCGTTAAAAATAGAAGGTACCGGTACACTCTTTTAATCCGCAGATTATACCATACGACCGGTATACCATCCGCATGGTATACCGGTCCAAAAACGTCGTCGTTTCGTTTATTAAAAAAAAATTAGGTACCGTCTTGGACTCTTAGACTTTAACAGACTTACGCAGCTCATCAATAACGGAATTCTCTCTTTTGCTCTGCCTTCTCTTCGATTCGTTTCTAAGGTTTTTGAATGGATTTTTCTGTCGATGATTCTGTTGTTTTTGATTCTTCGATTGGATTGCGAGATAATTTTGTTTCTAATACACACGATAACATCATTCATTCGATTGGTGATAATGATTTCGAAGTTGATCAGCTGGTTGATGTTGAATTGATCGGTACGTGTAATTTTTTCCTGGTGTATGATTAGATCAGCTGGTTTATGTGTAATATCTTTTGCTCTCTGTTTTATACCATTGCTTTAGAATTTCGATTGTATGAGTATTCATAGTTGTTGATTTTGTCTTCAGGAGAAGAAGAAACTATTTCTAAAGCTTCTAAATTGTTATATCTTCTTAGCAGAGGTATTTGTTTTGTCATGTAATTTCATTTCATTTTTGTTGTAATTCGGTTCAATGTTATTTAACTCTCATTTATTTAAGTGTAACATGTGTTACCGGATATGTAAGTTCTGTTTTATTTAATGTAACACAGTGACAAAGTATGTAGTTGTTGATTGTTTTCATATATATGCTTTATACATTGTCAGATTCATCGGAAAATGTTCACCAGTCGACTGAGAATAAATCACTTGTTGGGCTTAGTGTCAAGTGTGAAGAGGATGCTTATAAACTTTACAATGATCATGCTTTTGAAAATGGATTTGGTATTCGTAGACACAGACAGAGGTTTAGGAGTGGCAATGTAAGTTTGACTATGAAGTCTTACCGTTGTTGGAAAGAAGGGAAGAAACTACAAAAGGGTACTGAAAACAAAATGTATACTAAGTTAGATTATCGTACTGGTTGTGAAGCGAAATTACAATTTTCTATTAGTTCTGATGGTGAATGGACTGTCTCAAAGCATATTATTGATCACAACCATGCTTTCTGTCCAATTGATCAAAGACACCTGCTGAAATCACATAGAGGCGTTGATCGTGAGTATCTTGAATTTATTATGTTGATGAAGGAGAGTGGAACAAAGGTTTCAGATGTTCACAGGATGCTTCAAAAACAGGCTGGTGGTGTTAGTGCTCTTGGATTCACGAAACGTGATGCTTATAACGTTCTAGAAACTGAAAGAAGTAAAACGTTTGATGGTACTGATTCGAACACTTTGATTGGTATATTGAAGAAAAGGGCTGAAGTAGAATCTGATTTTTTCTTTGATTTTGAACTGGTTGATGGCGTACTGAGTTGTTTTTTCTGGAGAGATGGTCAAATGAGATCCGATTATGAGAGGTTTGGAGATCTAGTTGTGCATGATACAACTTACAGGACTAACAAGTATGATATGATATGTGGTCCGTTTATTGGTATGAATCATCATTGTAAAAATATAATGTTTGGTTGTGGCTTTATGCTAAATGAAAAGGTGGAGTCTTTTGTTTGGTTATTTCAGACTTTTCTGAAATCTATGGGTGGTAAACAGCCTATCACTTTCATGACAGACCAGTCATTTTCCATGGCATCGGCTATCAAATCTGTGTTTTTTGGGGCAAGACATAGACTCTGCACTTGGCATATAGATGAGAATTCAAAGAAACACATCATGCATCTACGCAAGAAGATAAATTTTGTTTCTCTTTTTGATTATGTTGTCAAACGATGTGATACTGTTGCAGAGTTTGATTTCTATTGGAATGAGTAAGTTGTGTTATGATGTAATATTGTAATTATATGATGTAAATATGTAATTATATGATGTAACCTGTACAAACATTTGATGTGATCTTTTCTTCTTTTAAATCTGTTTCAGATTGAATAGAATTTATGAATGCAGTGACAACACATGGTTGAAGAGACTGTACAGTCATAGAGAAAAGTGGTGTCCTGCTTTTTCGAAGGATTACTTCTCTGGTGGTATTCTATCCTCACAAAGAAGTGAATCTACAAATAGATCGATATCTAGAAGACTTACAAAGACTGCAACATTATGTGATTTTTACAAAATGTTTTGTGATGTTGTTGATGAGTGGAGGTTAGAGGAGAATGGTCATGATTTTAGATGTTCCGAAGGCACTGTTGAGATGGTATTGCTACAAGACAGTTTGTTGTCTCATGCAAGAGATGTGTATACCCTTGAGATTTTCAAAGTGTTCCAAGAACAATATTTGAAGGGTATGTCTCATTTTTTTTAAATTAATCTCTCAGAATGGCGATGATTATGTGTATAATCTTTGGTTGGAAGGGGTAGATTTGATTAGACACAGTGTTACTTTTAATCAAAATGCCAATACAGCGACCTGCACTTGTAAGATGTTTTCTGAAGTTGGCATTTTTTGTAGACACATTTTGCGTATCTATAATGTCTATTGTGTCAAATGTATTCCCCAAGTTTATATACTCTCTAGATGGACAAAGGCTGCCATTCTGCCAAATGTTAATCTTTCTCTTACGCACGGAACCGATAATATGTTTGGCAAAATATTGGAAGATTCTGTTTGGAGGGTGCAAATGACTAGGAAATTCAACTCAGTATTGGGTGTAAGTGCTGGTTTTCCTGAAGCTAGGCGAGTATGTGAGCAAGGATATGATTCTATTAAACAATTTTTAGATATACAAAGAAATTCTTCTGTTTTGGATGAATCTGCTTCAAGAACAATATTGGATCCTCCACGCTCTCGTCCTAAAGGTCAACGAAATACCCGAAAGAGAAGTATTGTTGAGAAACAGTGCAAAATAGTCAAAGCTCGTCGTTCCAAATCCCAAAATGTTGCCTCCAATTCAAAAGCAGTTGCACAATCTGTTGTACAGGTATTTGTTTACTTTTATTATATATTTAATGTATATATTTCTGATCATTACATTTTGTTTGATCCTAGGACACGGTTAATTTCATGGTTCCACAAGGTTATGTACTTGCTCATCCAGTTGGAGGAATGACATCTTTACTGCATGTGCCTAGATCTCCACCAGTTTTTGCTCCATACTTCATGCAATCAAATGCTGTGAACCAGATGCAGAATTAGTTATAGTTATACATGTTTATCAAACCAACTGCTTTGAGGAGTTTGCATATCTTATTGTGGGTTATTACTATTGTTGCAACCTGAGTTATATTTGATTTTATGGAATTTATATTGTCTTTACAGACTTTGTAATGAAGTTTGTTTGCTCAATTACTGCTCTGTAGCAGTTGTCACATTGTTTTTGCCTTGAGTTACATAGCTCTGTAACGTGAATTACATTTGTTGTGGTCATTGTTTACATCAGATATATATTACTTCTATACCTAATGTATATACATAATTCAATTAAAGTTTACATTTCAACGAGTTACATTTTGAATAACATGAAGTTACATGGAGAATCACAAGAGTTACATCAAATCATTATAAACCAAAGATGTAAGTTGTCACATTGTTCTTACCTTGAGTTACATAGTTCTGTAACGTGAATTACATTTGCTGTGGTCATTGTTTACATCAGATATATATTACTTCTATACCTAATGTATATACATAATTCAATTAAAGTTTACATTTCAACGAGTTACATGTAAATGAGTGTAAGTTACATTTTGAATAACACGATGTTACATGTAGAACCACACAAGTTACATCAAATCATTATAAACCAAACATGTAAGTTGTCCACATACATTTGAATTTTACAACATAATATCTTAAAACAAAACAGATCACTTGTCCAGTGCATTACAAGCACAAGCAACTGCATAAAACCAACAATACAACCAGCAAAAGTTTAAAGTAATCCATACCATCACCCCCTTAATAAAACCAACAAATGTTTTCAAACTAAACCCAACATATTAATGAATTACATTTTCATGTAGTCTTTTGCTTTTTGCAAAACAGCTTCCCTTTCACTGTTAAATTTTGACAGTAAAATTTGAGCTGCATACATGATTCTCATCTTTTGGAGGGTCTCATTTTGAGCTTTTATTCCTTCACTTGTAGCAGCAGGTGTAAATCTAGAGTCCCATATATGTCCTTGTCCACGGTATGTCTCTAGGTGGCGCAAAGCATATACTCCACAGTCAACGTGATTGCCGTTGTGTCTCCATGGCATATATAACATTCTGGGAACCCAGTTTGTTTGCTTTGCAATGTGCACTTTCTCACAGAAGGCTTTGAATGCTTCGACCTATACAAGAAGTTAAATCAATGTATTAAAATAATTTTGAATAATATCATTTCTTATTTCCACAAACATTGTATTGAATTTGTACCATTTTGTCAAGAGTTTCACCATATTTGTCCTTAATGCTCACTCCATCTGGAAGCACCCGGTTGTCAATGACATCAACAATGTTGTTTTTTGTGTAAAAGCAGTAGATATAATAGTGCAGATGTTTGTGTATTGGAAACAGTATCTGCGGTATACATGAGTTATTAGCAATTCATCTTTCACAAAATTAACATCAGTTACATAAAACAATACAGAATGTACATAACTCATAACCGGAACTTACCATATCTACTTTTGTTGCATCTGCTCCTGCATCATTTATTTCTTTTTGCAATCTCTCAACAACATTTTCAATGGGGTCACCAGATGCAAAATCAAACAGTGCCTGCACATTCAAATTCAGCCAATCTTAAGAAAATATAGCAACTGCAGTTCTCTACTTTATTTTACAATTTTACAAGAAAAAAGTATACATACATATACTTGGGTTGACGCAATGAAGGCTCTCTTTGTAGACTTATTTGACTCTTCTCTGTCATTCAGAATCTTTGCAAATGCATCAATGATGGAGTTGTCTACATATCCTTCTTGAAGTGTTTGAATCTCCTCATGAGTTAGAAACAGAGCTCCTTCATCTAGATAGACACAGTCTCTAACAGAATAATATTTTCCAAAGAAAATGAAATAGTTAATTATGAAACGGTGTTTCTATTGAAATAATACATTATATAATATCAGAAGTTCTTACTTTTCAACTTCTTTAGAGAATCCATAGTCAAGAACCATCTTTTCATCCCTGCTCAACTCCTTGCACAGCCTTCTATTTTTTTTTCGATAATATGTAAGTATATTAGAAACCGAAAAAAATAGCATTTTACAATGCATCAATCCAAATCAAAATGACTATCTAAGCTAGAATAAACTAACCTAGATATAATGCATCAAGATAATGGGACAAACCCCACTTCACAAATCACTAATTAAATAAAAGTCCAGTCCATCTAAGGAAACCGTAGTTTCCCCTTCCAAGAACTATTTTATCTTTCTTCCCATCATTCTCCCAAGCCGTCTTTTATACTTCTCATCTGTCTCACCCTTTCTCCGCCTACTTTTTTTGGTGGTTTTCTTGACATGGTGTTCCTGTTCCGGTTCCTCTTCAGTCTCATACTGGTTTTCAGAATCAATAGTATCACCCTTCTCATCCGTATCCGAGTCAAGATGAACCTCAGCCATCTTACTCGGTTCCTCCTCCCCTGAAATGGAAGTTGGCAGAAGTGCAGCAGCCAGTTTGGCAGTAGCATTTTCCGGTTGGGAAACCAGCACATCAAGCTCCGTCATAGATACTGCAGTTTCGGCTTCCTCCTCCCTAAGTACAGTTTCCAAACTCTCAATTAATTCCCCCAACTTTAACTCGCCTATCTCCACTTCCTTAGTTTTCTCTTCATTGGTCACTATCACTTGGGATGTGGCAGCACAAACAACTTTTTCTTCAAAATCATTTTTTTCTTTCACTTCCTTCTCATGAAGTTTTTTACAATTGAACGGGTTATGCCCATATTCTTTGCAATGGAAGCAGAAATTTGGGAAAGTTTCATAGACCACCAATTGTTTGATTACCTTATGTGAAGGTAATCGGATAGGAAATGAGAGTGGGGGCGGTTTGGACACATCAACTTCAATAAGCACCCTAGCGAAGTTATGATTGCTCCTCTCTTGAGTGATCAAGTCCGTAGTTAGTGGCACCCCTACCATAGAGGCAACTTCACTCATGGCATCTTTATTCCATAGTTTCATTGGTAGGTGTGGGAATTTAACCCAAATCGGCACTTTAAGGAACTCTTCATCATCAAACGTGAAATCTTCCGATAAAACCTTCAACATGAGTAGCTTGCCAAAGATGGTGTAAGGTCCCTCATTTAGCACTTTCATTCTGTCCACATCCGTTTGGAATTTAAAAATCACCCAACCTTTATCATGTGACCTGATTTGGCATTTTACACCCCATTTGAATTTCAGTTCATGGATAGCTATTAAACCGGGGAAACGACCCGTGAAACAGCCCACAAGACAGTACCCCCCACATCTCCACCATGGATGGCATAACTCTGTCAGAGAGGTCCAGAGAATTACCTTTAGGAGGGACAAATTTCAGTTTGATCCCATGAGATGGGGCTCGATTGTCCTTAAAGAGTGTACTCCATGGCTTCCTAACATTTTCATTCACTTTTGGGATAATAGTAGTCCCAGAATTACTGTCAGGATTCCCAGCAAATTTCGACCTGGTAGCAGCAGTTTTTGCAGCAGAAAGAGCTGTCTGCGCAAGTTTCTTAGCAGCAGGGACGAGAGTTTGTCCTGCTTTCGTGGGAGTAACACCAGCTCCTGTCTTCAACTCATTTTGCACCACACTGCCTGCTAGCAAATTCCCATCAATTTCCTCAGCGTGAACTGCCAGTGTACTGGTCATCACAGTAGCAGCTACAGTATCTGCTTTGGTCGCAGTAGAGTTTTCTTCACAGTTCACTGTAGCGTTAGCACGAGGTTTCTTCGTTCCAATCCCAAAGCCTAGAGCTGGAAATTCGTCATCGGTACCTGCCAAGACCTCAAACCTCGACGTAGATCTAGTCGCTCGTACTGTGGGTGTATCCCCGATGCCCTGTTTCTTCTTCGCCATAGCAGTTATCCGAAACTAGTCTTCCAGATATCTACCACCTCTCCTGTTCAGAATAGGACCGCAATCCACCGGCGAACCCCAGACGTAGCTCGGAATCCGGATTCAGGCGACGCGATGGAAGAACCAGTCGCGAATTGACTTCGCTGTGAACAGTAAAATCGCGAAAGCAAAAATCGATTCTCCGCCTCAAAACATGATTTCTGTCAAATTCTCATCAAATCCAAGCATAAATTGATACTAGCGAACGAATTTCAGTCAAGAAACATCAGTAAGCATAATCAAAACATCCAAATCCCTGAAACGGAAGCCTCCAGTAACGCAAAAGAGCCTAGGTCATTTTTTCTAGGGAGAGAAAGCTCTCAACTTTTGCCTGAAATGTGCACTAGCCGGGAATCGAACCCGGGTCTGTACCGTGGCAGGGTACTATTCTACCACTAGACCACTGGTGCTTGTTAAATGGTTTGTTCTTGAGAAATGGTGATCTGTAATTCACCATTGTATCACCTAACTTTCGAAGCTTCTTTTTTCTTGTATATGGTTTTAGCCCAAGATTCCTTTGGAAAAAACAATATAATGTTAAATTAATTTTATTACTTAAAAGTAATAATGAATTACATAAGAAACTAAAAAAACTTACTCTTGTTCATTATGATCTTTTTTGCTTGCTTCTGCATCTTCTCCATCAGCAGTCTTCTCCATTCCTTGCATGAGAACCTCTCTATTCTCTTCTTCCTCAGCACCTATTTTATTATCTCCAGCCACTTTAGCGTCACAATTCACTTCTCCAGTCATCACATCTTCCACTCCAGCAACATTTTGAGTCATCTCATCTTCTACTTCAGCAGCAGTTTCAGTCATCCCAGCTTCTACATCCAATTTTGCAGTGTCTTCATTTTGAGTCATGTTTAACTCAATGCCTAAATCAAATGAAGGCATTGAAAATTTCAGGAGTGCTGCTTTCTCCAGCTTCTCAAGGGCTTCCATAACTCCAGGCTCATTAAAGAAGTCGTCATCTTCCTCAAGGACACACTTCTCTGATAATCGTTGACTTCCACTTGGTAGATTTCCATTTGCTTGATTGAAGAAGTAATCAGCTGTGGTCAAGTATATCTTTTTCAAGATATCAGAATTGGGGAACTTTTTTGCAATGGTTGACGGCAACTTTGAAAATTCCACAAAGGCATCACTGAACTTCTGTGCCACAGCTATAATCTCCTTTACACAATGCTGAAAAATTATAATATTTGTTGTTTAATAATACATAAGTTACATAGTTATTGAATTACGTTACATAAAAGAGCT